CCTTCATTTGAAGCACTCAACTCATTAGGAGTTTGTGAATTCATACAATGAAGAAGTCAGTCTTAAAAATGCATTCACTAAGTAAGCTAGGTGGTGGTAACACATGGGATAATCCCAGAAATTGGGAGGCAGAGGCAGATGGATCTCTGTGAGTTTGAGGCCACTCTAGTCCACAGAGTGAGTTTCAGGACAGCCTAGACTACACAAAGAAACTCTATCTTGAAAAAAAATATACTCACTCTGGTAAAATCTTCCCAGGGAGCTCTTACCTTATTGTACATGAGAGAAATCACACTGGAAAGAAACTATTGGAATGTACTTAGTGTGAAAAAAAAAAAGCCTTCATTAAGTGCTTTCACCTTCAATCCAACTAAAGAACTCATTTTGAAAGAAAATCATATAAATGCTATGGCTGTGGGAAATTCTGCATCAACCTCAGCTTGTTAGACATCATCAAACACATACTAGAGTAAAGCACTATGGCTGAAGTCACTATAGGAAGGGTTTTTTGTTGTTGTTGTTGTCATTGTTTTTAAGACGGGGTTTCTTTGTGTATCCTTAGCTGTCCTAGAACTTGCTCTGTAGACCAGTCTGGCCTCAAGTCAGATATCTGCCTGCCTCTGCCTCCCAAGTACCACAACCACTCAACTGGGAAGACTTCCAATCAGGGTTTCCTCCCATTGTTCATCAGAGAACATACATGGGAAAGAAGACTTATCAGTGTAACATGTATGTTAAAGCCTTCAGTTGGTGGTCACACCACATTGAGCACAAGAGAACACATGCCAGAGAAAAACCTATTATATATGACTCTGGGAAAGACTTCAGCAATGTTCATTGTTGGCATTCTTGTAAGAATGCACACTGCAGAGAAATTAAGAATGTAACCATTATGGAAAGGCCTTTATTCAACAGTGTCAACTTACAAAGCATAAGAGAATTAATACTAAAGAGAAGTCTTATCAATGTAAAAAATTATTAGAGGAAACTTTCAACTATAATACATCCCTTATTCAACATGAGAAAATTAATGAACAATAAACTATTATTAATTAAGAGAAACAAACAAACATCTGGAATGTATGTTGAATCCATATTACCACCAAGCTCATGCTTCATACTACTTTATAGGAATCACTATCAGGAAAACTCAGAACCTTCAGTTTTACAAGCAGTAAAAGTGACTAGAGAAGCTATAAGTATGGTCCCTATAAAAAGCTTTAACTAGGAACTGACAGAGTTAGGACATCCATTATGGAGCTATAGCCTTCAGGTAATGCTTTTAATCAGATGACAAACCAAATCAGAAATTATGGTAGTATGGAAGATATTTTCATACAGAACACTCAAATTAACAAAAACCCTGCATAGGGAGGTTGGTGACCAGTGATTATACATAACTATTTTTAATATAACCCACTAATTTAATCAAAAATTGAGGAGCTGGAGAGATGATTTAGTCAGCAAAGTGCTTTCCTGGTGTTGACCTTCAGAACCCATGTTTTCTTGTTTTAGTTTTGCTAAAACCCAGTCATTTGGGTTTTAGTTCATTCTAGATGTAGTCAAGTTGACAGTCAAAAATAGTCATCACGGCCATTGTGGGCTAAATGACTCAGTTTCATCTGGAGTCTATTCTGACTTAAAAGTCATTAGAGTTCAAGCTCACTTGTTTCAGTCTCTTTGAGAACTATGAGAATGTTCTGATTAATCCCATGGGAAAGAACACATTATCTTACTAAAACACAGGCTGTTGAATGCCAGCTGAAGGCACATCGAGATAGAAAATGAAGCTGCTTGCTTCCCTGTCCTTGATTCAAGGACAGAGCAGGGATCTGGTCAACTAACTATGCTGCTCTTTGTTCTTCTCTTTGCATTTAGTCTGTATATAAGCAGGATCTGAAATGTTCAGTATTGACTGGGAAGTCCTCCTGACCCTATTCTTTGTTTTTCTCAGTCCTCATGCCCCTTCTCAGTTATCCTAGGTGACTCATTAGAGCAGACTCAGACAAGACCCTATCTCAAAATATATATGGGGCACATGGATCTCTTGATAGGCAGAGGTGTTTGCTGCCAAGCCTGACAACTTGAATTTGACTCCCATCATTATCAAGTATATAATTTCTTGTAAATAAGGAGTTATGGATCAATGCAGCAAATTATGACATGCATAGATTTCTATAATGCCATTACCTTGTTGATATGTAATTCCTGTAGGTGATAAGGAGGAAGAGTAAATAATTGATGAGGAAGTACAGGATTAATTCTATGAGCTACAACTTTAACAGAAACATTATTTAATAAACTAATAATTTGCTCTGCTTCGAGTGTTATGGTTTTTTATAGAGTTTAACCAGCAGTCTTCAGAGAGCAGAATCACATCTTTAGTAGAATTGGGCCATCTAACATAACCTCAGGTTTTTTCCAAGTAGCTGAGAGAACATTGTTTGGGAAGTTTTAAGCTAAGAGGATGATGGCAAATTTGTTTTTGTTTGTATGTACTCTAATGAATTAAAAGGTGATTGCTTTGTATTTTATCTGGAGCTGTGTTTAAATTTTGCTCTTTTAGGTTATTTACCATGAAAATCAAGCACTTATTCATGTACTGAGTGGGAGGGGAGAATGTCATCCATATAACACGAATGACCAATACTTCAGGGTATTGCATCAGCCCCAGCTTAAGTGCTCTGTGTAATAATATTCACATATGATCAAACTTTCCACTGTATTGGGTCAATGTACTTATTATCGGTATTAAAAGAATAGAGCAAAAGCAGTCTTTTAAGTTAATCATAATAATGTAATGTTCTTGAGGAATCATAGTAGGAACAGGTGGCCCTGGCTGAAGGGCTTTCATTGTTCCATAGTCATGTTTATGGTCCTGAGATCATGAAACAGTTAAAATTTATTCTTTGAACCATGCACTGGTGGTGCATGCCTTTAATCCCAGCACTCTGGGAGGCAGAGGCAAGCTGATCTCTGAGTTTGAGGCCAACCTGGTATAGAGTGAGTTCCAGGACACCCAGAGAGAGCTACATGGAGAAACCCTGTCTCAAAAAAAATATTCATTACCCTTTTATGAATTACAAAAATAGTCGAGTTCCAAGGAGTAACTAAAGGTTCTATATGTCTCAACATATCTGTGTATGAAAAATGGAAGAGCAAATTTGGCCTGAACTAGTTTTGGATGCATGTACAAAAAGGGAGGACCTCCTATTTACCACTTCATGCCTATGCATAGCTGGGCACACATATGATTAAAATCAGATGCATTATAGAAGGGACATGCACATAGAGGAAAATCAATGTATGATCTAATCTGTCAAAGAAGAGAACCACCCAAACTACATCCCTAGTAACCAGCACCCCTCCTCTTGAGCCCCACAAAAGGAAGCCCTGATATTACCTGGATGCTGAGAATCTTCACTCACAAGACCCACAGTCAATCTTGACTAGCGCATCCTACACAATCTATAATATCACTTTGCTCCAAATAAAATTATCTTACTTCTTTTTGTTTCTGTGAGCTCTTGTTTTCAATTTCTTTGGAAAAGAGGCCAAGAAGGGAAATGCCCTGAGCACTATCTGCCATACTACTGTCATTGTGAGACCCACACATATGGAGACTGGTTTGGGGGGGTGGGGAATGACAGCAGAGAACAAAGGAGAGTCCTGGGCTGAGGGAGGGAGGGAGAGATGGAGAAGTGAGGGATTCAGGAAACGCTGTCTCCTGGGAATTGTCACTCCATAATAGATCACTTGCCTCTCATTCGTGAAGATCTAAGTTCAATAGTCAGTACTGGGGGGAGTGGAGGAGGAGATGCTATTCCATACCTGGTGTTCTCTGTATTTTTAAGGGTGTAGCTTAATTTCTGTCATCATTAGCCTGGTGAGGACTAACAAGTAACACCCCCCCCCTTTTTAAGTTGATTGGTTGGTTGGGGTGTTTGTTTGTTTGTTTGTTTGTTTGTTTTTGTTTTCAGATATGGTCTCTATGCGGTTCTAATTGCCTGACACAATGTAGACAAAGGAACTCACTATGGAGACAAGGGTAGCCTCAAACTCACGGTGTTCAGCCAGCATCTTAGAGGTATGCACCGCCTCTCCTGGCCCTCGGAGTGTAGCCTTCAACAAGCTGTGCAGCCAAGCATGAATTCCTGAATCCCAGTGCCTCCATCTCTTCAACGCTGGCATTACGGATGTACTTTTTGTAAACCCCTCAAGGCACACTAGTGGCCAGGCCCCTCCCCTGAGGACCTCCATCTACCACCCAAAGAACATTGCCCTAACGGCTGGATCCGAACCCTGCCCTATAGAGCAAAAGCCCACGCTCTGGACTTGAAATCCGATCCCCACCCTGGAAAGCTTCACCCTGAAAGATTACACACACACACACACACACACACACACACACACTCCCCCTCCCCAACCCCCGCAAGAAACTATATAAATCCTGCCTTCTGCTTAGTTCTCTGCCGTTTCTCGCCTGAGCAGAGGCAGCCACTCTCCCAATAAATCTGTGGGAAGTTTGTTGCATGGTGTGACTCTAGTGTTCCTTGGCTCCCGATTGCCGGGCTATCTTTCCATCCGAGCTGTAACAACTGCACCTTTAAACGGTTGATGTTCGTTCTTACCTGGAGAAACGAAATCTGGGAAGAGTCGTTTTCCCCTATCCAGTCATTGGGCCTTCAAAGACCATTTATCACATTAGGAAAGCTCTTAAATGTTCATGAAATTGTGCTTCAGGTAAATGTCAGACATCCCCGTGTCTCCTGTGCATGTGATCCCAGCAGTAGCTCAGATCGACCAACTCTAAGAGGAAGGCCTTCTGCCGCGCGTCCCCCTCACTGCTCAGGAGCATATGTTCCCTAAACTCGGCCATCGGGGTGGGAGGAAGACTTTCAGGGTAGCCCGGAGTGAGGGATGCCGGCAGCAGTAATAGGTAACGGGATGGAAGCGGAGCTCTGCGGGTACCCAGACCGGCTCCTCAGCCAACAGCTCCCTTACAACAGAGGCCAGGACTTCCCCATTGGTCAACGTTGGGCTAGCGGTAGCTCCTATTGGTCCAGTCTGCGTCTCAACGCGTGGCCTTCTGGGAGTTGTAGTCTCGACGTCCCTGGCGCTGCCGCCATTGTCCAGCGGGAGGCTGGTAGGGTGGTCCCTACGACGGGGCTGCGCTTTAGATTAGGGGTTGCCTCGGACGTCTGTTGCGGACCTGTTCGCCCGGGATGGATCTGCAGAACCAAGCGACAACAGTGGCGATGGCCTCGCGGCCGCATGCAACACAACTTAAGGTAACGTTAACGACGGAGGGGACTCCGGGCCCGCTTCCCGCACAGACTGGCCTGTAACCCGCGGCGCTTTTTCCACAGGGGAAGCCAACGCGATGGCTCAACCGCCGAGCCCAGCTCCCACCCCCACCCCCGGCTCCAGTTTGCATGCTTCAACCTCCTGTCTCCCTGCTGTGGGGTGGGAGGAGGGGGGTGGCCGTTTCCCAGGGAACAGGAGAGACCCCCGCTCAGGGGTTCACCCCGACTCCGGCCATCACCTTCAAACCCATCCAGAGATGGTTTGATGACAGGTGAGTGAGTGGCTAGAGTTACAAAGCACCCACATTGCGGGTATGGTCCTCAGGACAGGTCCTAAAGCATAGAATCAACAGACTTTTAGAGGAATCTCCGCACCATGAAGCCCCTATTTTGCAAGTAAGGCATAACTTCGTGGGACACGGGCACCAAGTTAGTAAAATAAGAGTAGCTACCAAGGATCACCCCCTGCGGGGCTGTGGGGAAACTGGTAGGTAGAGATGTCAGTGTTGGCCAAGTTTCTGGTCATCAAAGTTCCAGCACTTTGTAGACAAACTGGCTGCTTATTCTGTTCTCCATAGTCCGCCTAGAAAACAGTTCATATGTAAGTTCTGCAACTTCGGAATTATGTACTTGTGAGTGGGGTTATTGGTTTGCTTAGGGAAGGTGCTCATTACTTTACATTTGGTGTGCAAAATGCCCTTATTGGCAGTCTTAGATTGCAGGTTATCAGCTTCGTGTTATTTGAGTTTTCTGTGAAATGTGACCATTGTGTAGAACTGAGAACTGAGGCCTGTCAACAGCCATAAATGATTGAGCCATGGTGAAGGTGGATTCTCCAGCCCCAGGCAGGCCTAAGGTTGCCGTCATTAGGCTGGCAGTTTGTCAGAGAATAAGCCATGCAAAAGATATTAGAAGTGTGTTTAACCTGTTGTGGTGTAACAAATAGCACACACAAAATGTAGTGACCTGAAATAAATACTACTTCATGGTTTCTGATATGTAAGAATCCAAGAGTAACTTAGCTCATGGGTCTTCCCTAGGCTCTTAAAGTTATAGTCAAGATGGCAGCCCAACGATTATTACTTGAGACCTGACAGAGCCTGAAAGACCTACCTTCAAGATGGTTGGTTCATATGGCTGTTAGCAGGAGGCCTCGATGTGGGAGCACTTAGGTCTTACAACGTAATGTGTGGTTCCCTGTAGAGTGGTGATCCAGAAGATGGCAAGGTAGAGACTGTGTTATGATCTCCGCTCAGACTTTACACTGTCATTTCCACAGTCTCCTATCATTTATACAAGTCAACATGGCTGCATGCAAGTCAGGATGTCACTGAGGGGCCATTTTAGAAGCTAGCCTCCACAGGTAGAGGCCTTTGAGGTCCAGTACATTAGTTTCTTGTGGCTGTTACAAGTCACTACAAACTTTGTGGCTAAAGACAATGTGCATTCTAAGCCAAACATGGTGGCATTTGCTTATAAGCCCAGAGGCTGAGGCAGGAAGACGATAAATTCAAGATCAGGCTTGACCCTGTCTCAAAAGAAAAGACACATTCTAGGCAGAAATGAGCACCACTGAGCAGAGCCGCACTTCTACCAACTTTCTAGGGGAGGATATCTGTTGATTTGACTTTTCCAGCTGTAAGAGCTACAGCCTTGTGGTCTTTTGTCTAGCATCAGAGCAGCAATGTAGCATCTTGTTTAATGATCACATTGTCTTCTGGTTTCTCCAGTCGCATGCCAATCTCCTAAATGTGTGATTGCATTTAGGATTCATGCGTATAACACAGGACATCTGCCTATGTTGGTGTCTATCACATCTGCAAAGTACATATCACTGTCACAATATCCATACGTTTCAGGAGCAAAGACCTGGATATCCTTGGGGGACTAGTCATCCTTTATTGAAAGATGACAAGAAGGGTTGGACAGATGGGCTCAGCGGTTAAGAGCACTGGTTGCTCTTCCAGAGAACCTAGGTTCAATTCCCAGCACCCACATGGCAGCTCACAACTGACTTTAACTCTACTTCCAGGACATCTGACACCTTCACACAGACGTACATGCAGGCAAGCAGCAATACACATAAAACTTAAAATTAAAAACAAAAAAAAAAAAAAAATGACAAGTGTTTGGGGTCTGGAGATATAGCTCAGTGGAAAGAGTGCTTGCCTAGTGTGAAGTCCTGACACCACTTTACAAAACAAAACAGTGGGTGTCGTAGTGCACACACCCAGCACTTGGGAGGCAAAAGCAGGAGGATCAGGGTCATCTTTGGCTATGTCTGAGGCAAATCTGGGGTGCTTAAAATCCTGTGTGTGTGGGGGGGGGGTGAGATTAGATTGTATTTTAAGTGTTAAGGGGCCTAGGGAGGTCACTGGTCAAAGTGCTTGCTGCACAAGTGTGAGGAGTATAGTTCATATCCCCAGAAACCATATAAATGCTGAGTGGGCTCACCAATAACTGCAGTCGCAGAAGGCTGGCAGGGCATCCCCAAAGCAAGCTGGCTATGGAGACTTATCAAGAGCGGTAAGCTCTGATTCAATTGAGAGACCTGCTCGGTGAATAAGGCGGTAGAACCATGATTCCCAGCATCAGCACTGGGCCTCCATGCGTGCACATATTTGGACATACTCTCCCTCATGTGTACCTACACACACATGCTTCACAAACATGACAGTGGAAAGGAGAGGGAAGGTGTTGAGAAGAACTGGTACAGGGCTAGAAAGAACCACTTGGACATGGGATAGAATGTTGAGAGCTAAGCTAAAATAGTGGGTTAAAAAAAGTGGGGTGGAGGCCAGAGAGTGGTGGCACACACCTTTAGTCCCAGCACTCGGGAGGCAGAGGCAGGTGGATTTCTGGGAGTTCGAGGCCAGCCTGGACTACAGAGAGAAACCTTGTCTCCAAATAAATAAATAAATAAATAAATAAATAAATAAATAAAGTGGGGTGGAGATGAGACTTGATGATCAGATAATACTAACACGGCCTGGCCATCAGTAAAAGTATGTGTGGAGGACAAAGATCTGATCACCCGAGGCTGTCCTCTGACCTCTACACACTTACATTCACAACTACTACTCACTTACATATTGCGGTTAAATAAGGATCAGGATAAACAAATAGGCCAAATAGATGTTTATTCAGGGAGAAATAACTTACAACCTAGACAGATGCACACCAGCAAGTTCCACCGGATGCTCTCCTGTCCGAGTCCTGCCAGCAAGAGAGCATTCCCTGGCTCTTCCTCCGACCTCCTTCCATGGGTCACTTCCGCCCATGGCTCCACCCCCAATGGGCGTGGTCAGTGCCACAGAAGGAGGCAAAGTAAATATCTCACTACACTTACAAACATAGTCACAAAACCAAAAACCCAATAACCATTTCTTTAGTTCATAAACCTGCATGTCAGTGGTCTAACCAGCTCTGGTCAGCTGTAGCTGTCTTTGTTGCCGAGAGCTCTCATGTGTTGTCATGGTAACCCATACCTGCCTATAGTGACCCGTAGGCTCCCAGTGAGACCTGAGGTACATCGCACAGAGGGTACATTTTCTGAGTCCCTGCCTGCCTGTTTTCTCCCATCCTTCCTCTCCCACAGAGGTAGATGGTCTGACTAACTGTGAATACGTATGATGTTTCAGGAGCCAGTGACTTTCCGAGATGTGGCTGTGAACTTTACCCAAGAGGAGTGGGGACAGTTGGACCCTACCCAGAGGACTCTGTATCGGGATGTGATGCTGGAGACCTTTGGACACCTTCTCTCTGTGGGTAAGGCCCCACTTCTCAGACTGAGTTACAGTTGTAGGCCTCTGGTATGGGACTCTAACTTAACCTTGAGTCCTCATTTCCTGAAGGATACACATATTGGGAGATTGCCCTGTCTGTCACCAAGCAAAGCCCTTGTGATTGGAAGGTGCCCACGTGTCCTGATGGTCAAGAGCCTGAGCTGCAGCCTGAGCTTGTTTGTCCCAGAGCAGCCTCTGACCTCCTAGGTCTTTTCCTATTTCCAGGTCCTGATCTTCCCAAACCTGCAGTTATCTCCCAGCTGGAGCAAGGTGCTGAGCTCTGGGTGACAGAGAAGGGAGGCACCCAGGCCTGCCATCCAGGTAAGAACCCCACCAAGTGGGTGCCCCTACTGGAGAGATCCCAGGAGGCCACTGGAGACGCACTTATGGAAAGAATGATATTCCAGGACCCTCAGAACCATCCCTTTCTTAGGAGGCTCAGAGGACTTAGCATCACCATATTCACAGCTCTGACTGATTGCAGCCAAAGACACAGAGCAAAACCTGTGAAGGAAAGGAAAAGGCTTCAGGGGGGCAAAGTCTAGAGCGGTGATTCTCAACCTTCCTAATGCTGTGACCCTTTAACACCTCTTGTTGTGGTGACCCCCAGCCCTAAAATTATTTCCACTGCTACGTCATAACTGCAATTTGCCACTTTTATAGATTGCAATGTAAATATCTGATATTCCCAGTGGTCTTAGGGGACCCCTGTGAAAGGGGCATTCGGCCCCCAACAACTAGAAGGAACCAGGCATGAGCTTCCGGCTCTTCAGTCTGTGGAGTCAGGCAGAATGTGCTCAGTTCTCCCAGCAGTAGATGATAGCGCATGAGGACTGTTGTCTCCAGAGAGGGTGATGGGGTTTCCCCTGGGGCCACCCTCTGCCTCATACATACCGATTCTGGCGCTTGAAATAAGCCGTGACAGCAGAGCAGTGAACTTTTCTTTAATTAGGATGGTGGGAACCTGATACTCCCACTGGCCAGCCTGTGAGCAAATGTCGTGTGTCTCTGGAAGGCGCTCTGAAGGGTCCCGCGTGGCCTCTCCTGTGCTCACAAAAGCCGTTCTTCCTCTCCAGCAGGGAGGGGCCTGCCTTGCTTGCGTTTCTACTCCACCGTCCTTTCCAGGCCACTTCCTTCTCTTCCTGTCTCATCAGCCTTCCCAGCATCCTCTTCCTGGTTTCATCTCGGTGTTGCTTTCAGTTCATGCGTGTTAGATTCTATAAGCCTGTTCCTCTTACCCTTCTGCTAGTCTGTTACCAGCCTGGTCTACATAATGAGAATCAGGCAAGCTAGGGATGTATGTATGATGTATGTATGAATATCTCCTGGCCTTCAAAACAAAACAAAACAAAAACTCTTAAAGTTATGATTAAAGTTATGAGAAGTTCAGAAGAAAAAGAAAATATTATTTTTAAAAAGCGGGACCCCTGACTTTGCTGGTGCTGGTGCTGGTGCCGGCTGGGCATCTTAGAGATATGCTAGGGCTGATGGTTCTGTGTTGCTTAGGGTCACCGTGTGACTGCAGCAGCTCCAGCCATCACATCTATGCTCCAAGTGAGAAGGAAGGGAAATCTTTCTCTTTGTCTCAAAAGTCTTTGGTCGGGACTGGATAACTTGCCTTATCCTGGTCCTGTTTACTGGGGAGAATGGGAAAGAAAGTTCCATAATTAGATGGGGCTGATGCACTGGTGTGCTGACAGCTGGAATGAGTATGATATGGCAGCAGTCTGCAGAAACCCGCTCACACGCTTCTGGTGTCATCGCAGGCTGCAGAGAAACACAGTTACTTCTGATGCCGCGTGACCCTCACTCTTGGTTGCGGAGGAGGTTCCATTTCTATTCTCTCCTGGTGTCTAGAGGCTGCCCAGACACCATGGCCCATGAGGCCTTCCTCAGAGCACATCACCCATTCCGTCCTCGAATGTTCGTGTCTGGCTCACTTGCCTTTCCTATATGGAGCCTCCTGATGATATTTAGAATCCCAAAATAAGCCAGGCAGTGGTGGCACATTCCTTTAGCCCAAGCACTTAGGAGACAGGGGCAAGCAGATCTCTGTGAATTCCATTCCAGCCTGGTCCACAGATGGAGTTCCAGGTGAGGCTCTAAAGCTCCACAGAAAAACCCTATTTTGAAAAGCAAAAACAAAAATTCCCAAGATAATTTCACACTTTTAAAATTCTTAATTTGGGCCTGAAGAGATGGCTCACCAGTTAAGAGCACTTTCTCTTGAAAAAAAAAAAAAAAAAAAAAAAAAAAAAAACTGAATCTACATCCATGTATCCATGTCAAGTAGCTCACCAGCTACCTGTAACTCATACATTCACATACAGAAACATAAATCTCTTAATTTTTAAAGTCTTAATTATATCTTCAATATCCTCTTTGCCATGTAACATCACACATTTACAGAGCCCGAGGACTGGGATGTGGTTATCCTTGAGGGGCCATCGCTCAGCTTAACACACACTTCACTCAACAAGACAGTACTTTTTCTTTGTTTTAAAGGAAAAGAATGGCCCCTTCCCAGTGCAGCCATGTGATTTAGTGGGCTATGTGAGCAGTGGAGGTGAGCCTCTGCCTGCTGCATCTGCTTGCTTTCTTACTGTTTCCCTTCCATAGTTATTTGACCTCGCCTGATGAACTGTGTATAGTCTCGACCCTTCTTCTCACCACCGTTTCTCACGGGAGACACTATGGCATCCGAAACAGCAGGATTCGTTGTTTGAGGTGTGGGGTGGCTGGAGCTGTGGGGACCCCAGGTAAATTCAGCATTGATACTTCCAGCCCAGCAGCTCAGCCCTCAGTGGTGGCCTGAAATCTTCTACTCCTAGTCTTCTTCAACCCCTTCCCATTGGCAGCAAAGGGACGGAGGTTTGCCCTGAGCCTGTATCTAATAGTATCAGTTCAGGAGCCTTTGATGCCAAGAGTGTAGCAGAAAATAAGACAGCCTCAGTCATCTTGGGATCTGAGAAATGAGTAACACTGTCAGGAGGTGATGGATGAAACAAGCAAAACTATGCCTGAGAGGGATAGGGTAGACAGTGCCCCCAGGACACACAGGGATGTCTCTTTTAGAAGGTAACACTGAAGCAGGCAGACTCTGGTGATGCATGCTCCAGTCAGAGAAAGAAGCGTGAGCAAATGAGCATGGGATGTTGGCAGGAATAGTAACAAAGTGAGAAAAGAGGTGAAGTCAATGAGAATGGAGGCCAGGAGAGGAAAGCACAGTTTATCGTCAGAAGCGATTGGCACTGGGTGTGGGTGTGGGAGGCAGGGGCAGGTGGATCTCTATGCGTTCAAGGCCAGCCTGGTCAACAGAGTGAGTTCCAGAATAGCCAAGGCTACACGGAGAAACCCTGTCTTGGAAAAAACAAACAAACAAACAAACAAATAAATAAATAAATGAGAAGAAATGATTGTCATGGTGAGCAGAGAGGTAACCAGGGTGGAAAAGGGGACAGATCTGTCTGGGATTTGGGTAACAAAAGAGTCATATACCATAAACCTTTCCCATTTAATATTAGAGATGAAAGTTTAGTTGTATGCATGAAGCCCTGGATGTGATACCCAGTTTAGCAAAACAAACAGGAAAAAAAACCACCTACTGTGGAATCCAGTGGTGTCAGAATGTAGTCACAGATTGTGCATCACCAGTATCCACTTCCAGAACATTTCATCACTGTCTAGGTGATTTAAACAGAAGGGCTTTATTTCTTACAGTTCTGGAGGCTGCACGTTGATTTGGTGTCTGATGGAGGCCTCTTCTATAGATAGCTGCATTTTCCTCTGAAGAGGGAAGCAGGGGTAGAGGACACTAATCTACCATGAGGACTCTGCCTTCAAGACCTGCTACTCCCCAAAGCCCCATTTCTAAACCATTGGAGCAGGGATTAGAACTTTAACATGCAAATGTTAGAACACAAGCATTCAGGCCCTAGCTGTCACCACCCATCTTCCCTAGATCTTGACAACCATTCATCTGAATTGCCTGTGGATTTGCTTGTTTGGGACCTTTCTTAATCAGTAGACTCAGTTTGTGACATTTGTGTCACAGCATAATGTTTTCAATTTCAAAGTCCCTACATGTTGTGTGTATTCACGCTTCATTCCTTTTTATGACTGAATATTCCATTTAATAGATAACTATTTTTTGGCTTGATGTAATTCTGGGAATTGAACCTAGGACCTCATACATGCTAGACAAGTACTCTACCACTGAGCTATATTGTTTCATTTTTTCATTCATCAGTTGATGGGCATTTGGGTTGTTTCCACTTTGGAGCTATGAAGAGTAGTGGACAAATGTAGATGGTATGCTCTTGGTGTTTGTTCTTCTGCTTCTTAATTTTCTTTGTATGTCTAGTGTTCATGGTGCTGTTTTGTAGAAGAACATTTCCATAAACCACATAACATACTGAGCACATTGCCTTCAAATATATAATTTTGTGTGGAATCACTACATTTCTTAAAGTCCCTCTGTGTGCTGTGCAGTGACAGCAAAGAGCACAGGGCCCAGCCATCCTCAGCTTCTCCAGCTCTTCTCCTGCGGCCAAGCTCTCGGTTTTCCCTTGAGTCCCTCCAATATCACTGAGAGAGATATTGTTGAATTTTTAGCACCTGTCAGTTCTAGGCACCGACTGGACACTAGTGTGATAAGATGGATAGTGAATGAATGAACACATTCACGTGTGACTTTAGCAGATAAGAGGTCTCAAGAATGCTAAGGGTAGTGCTGGAAAGATGGCTCAACAGTTGAGAGTCCTTACTACTCCTGCAGAGTTCCTGAGCTCTGTTCCTAATACCCAAGAGTTGACTCACAACAACCTATAACTCCAGTTCAGAAATCCAGTGCCCTCTCTGACTTCAGTGGGCTCCTGCATACTCATATTGCACACACATACACTCAGGCACATGCATAAACAAATAAATAAATAAGTGTATATGCTTACATATTTTATATATGGTTATTTATTTATATTTATAAATATATAAAATTTTTAAATTTTTTTAATGTTAAGGGTGAGCAACAAAGTGAAGCATGGGCCTCAATGAAGTCTAATTCCTAACCTAAAATCAGTTGTCTATCACGTAGGCCCAATGTAATCAAAAGAGTAATTGTAAGAAGCAAGAAGGTCACAGCAAGAACAGGATGTGTGATGATAGAAGCATAGGTCATTGAGAGAGAGATTTGAAGATGCTATACTACTGACTCCCCTAGATTCTTCTGAGGAGCTTCTAGGAAAAACCAGCCTTGCTGACATCTGAATTTTAGGACTTTGTATTGGAAGATGGAAAGCAGTGTTACTTTTGGACACTAGGTTTGTGATAGGTTGAAACAGAATCCTGCAAGAAACTGGTACATTTTTATTAAATTCATTCCCAGTGCCTGGCCCAGGAGGGGAATATTGTTGAAGGCAAGGATGGTGTCAAGGGGAATCAGGACTTACCAGGGCAGATTAAGATCCTAAATTAGTGGCAAAACTCCAGGGTATAGGGAACCTGCCCCTCTCCTTGTTTTCCCTTAACTACTCAGAGCTTTTGTTTTTTTTTTTGTTTGTTTGTTTGTTTGTTTGTTCTTGTTTTTCTCTCAGATTGGATTCTTGGACCTAAAGACCACACATCATTCAAGGAGCAGGGCCACCCTGAGAAGGAACCATCCCCCATTACAGAAAGGGATGGATTCAAAAGGGCTATTTCTTGTTATTCCATGACAGGGATAGATTGGAAAAGTGATTACCAGAGGCAGCCACTCAAGAAGAACCAGAGTAACTTAGGGCAATTGGAAGGTCCCAAAGAAATACCAACTCAGAGTGAGAGCTATGGAAGTCTTCGACTTAAGGAGACCTGTGTTCTTAGCGTAAGCACAGATCTATTACCAAATATTTCTAGAACGGAACATGGCTTTACTGATGGCTCACAAGTTCAAAACTCAGAACATAACCCAAGCTTGGTTAGTCAACCTACAGACTCTCCAGCAACACAGCCCTTTGATGACAGTAGCTGTCAAAAAAACTTTGATCAGACTATGCCCATTACAGAACTCACAAAAATTCAGGTACAAGATAAACCCTATAAATGCACTGATTGTGGGAAGTCATTTAACCATAATGCACACCTGACAGTGCACAAGAGAATTCATACAGGAGAGAGACCGTATATGTGCAAAGAATGTGGGAAAGCCTTCAGCCAAAATTCCTCCCTTGTTCAACATGAGCGAATCCACACTGGAGACAAGCCCTATAAATGTGATGAATGTGGCAAATCTTTTTGCCACAGTACACACCTCACAGTCCATAGGAGAATTCATACTGGAGAGAAACCTTATGAGTGTCAGGACTGCGGGAGAGCCTTCAATCAGAATTCATCCCTAGGACGACACAAGAGGACACACACTGGGGAGAAGCCATACACCTGTAGCGTATGTGGGAAATCCTTCTCTAGGACCACTTGCCTCTTCTTGCATCTGCGGACTCACACTGAGGAGAGGCCGTATGAGTGTAATCATTGTGGGAAGGGCTTCAGGCACAGTTCCTCCCTGGCCCAGCATCAGCGGAAGCATGCTGGTGAGAAACCCTATGAGTGCCAACAGAGGCTGATCTTTGAGCAGACATCAGCTTTAACAAAGCATGAGTGGACAGAAACCCTCAACTGTAACCCACCTTTAAGTCAAGAAGAAAGGACTCAACGGAGTGATAGACCCTTTAAATGTAATCAGTGTGGAAAATGTTTCATTCAAAGTTCTCACCTCATCCGACATCAGATAACTCACAACAGAGAGGAAGAACCACATAGACGAAGCCGAAGACGTGAACAGCCCTGTGGACGAGGCTCAAAGCTCATTCAGAATCCACACTTAAATTCAAGAGAAATCCCCATGGCCCAGGCAAGGGCAGGACAAGCAAGCAGGGCACTGGCCTTGTTTGACCTTCATGAAATCATACAGGAGAAAAACCCTGTGCATGTTATTGGGGTAGAAGAACCTTCAATGGGCAACTCTTTGTTATTTGACATCAGAGAATCTACATAGGAAGGAAATGAGATAACTCTGGAGTTACTAGGTACATCCATAAGTCCACACAGCATATTGGAGGCAAGAAAAGATGGCATAATGACCTCTTACTTCTTAAGGAAGTGGTGCCTCCCAAGCCCTTAAGGTTTGTGGTTTTCAAATGTATCAAGCTCGGTTCCTGTTTAACAACAAACTTTTTCTTTGTTTCTCTGAGATAGTCTCATGTGGCCCAGACTGGCCTCAAACTCACCTTGTATTCAAGAATGACCTTGACTTCCTGGTCCTTCTGCCTTTACCTCCCTAATTCTAGGATCATGGCCATATGCCACTATATCCACCAACAGTAGACAGCTTAAGATGTTTTCTCCGTTATGCTAAAATGAGTTTACTAGTAATAAAACCTCTGCAGCGGCATAGTGTGAAGAAAAAAAAAAGATGGCTAAGTGATATATAAGTGATATATACTGCGTCGATGTGGTATCTTGCCATGCCCTTATGTGGGCCCAATTTCACCAGATCAATAGCCTGTAACTTTCAGACTGCGGCAAGGCACACTGTAGTCTACAAAAATACTATAAAGGACATTACTGTGCCCAAGATGATTCTGCAGAGTAGCACTGAATGCTTATGAAAGTTTTTGAACAAACCAAAATACTATTGCATGTGTGGGAAACTGCCTATATTCAAAATATACGTACAAAGCAATGTATGTTTCTATGTGAATTCAACTCAGAATCCTAGTTCACATATCACACAGGTTAAGTTCTGTACTGCACAATCATTATAGCATGTATGGCTCCTATCTTCATTTCAATAATTTAACAGAGAAGCATCAAAATTCTACAACATTCTCTAAAGGCGTCACAGCTCCTATGAAAACCACTTGAAATATCTAGGGTTGCTGTTAGTCAGAGGTACCCATCTGCAATAATTTGTCCTCAGAGGACATTTGGTAATATCTGGAGTCATTTCTGTCACTGCAACTTGAAGGAAGCATCCTGGTGGAGGCCAAGGATACTGTTCAACATACTTAAGTGCTCAGAGCAGCTCCTCAAAGAATCTTCTAGTCCCAGATATTAATAGTACTGAGATGGAGAAGCCCTAATATAAACTCAAGCCAGAGGGTTGGGGTGTAGCTCCATAGTAGAACACTTGCCTAGCATGTAGAAGGCCCTGAGTTAACAGTGTCCAGTAACAGAGACACAATAAATAGCGAACCTTTTCTAAACTGTAAACTGAACAAAGCTATATTAACAATCATGTGAGTTTGTTCTTAACAAATAGAGCCATGAGGGGCTGGAGAGATGGCTCAGAGATTCTAAGTTCAATTCCCAGCAACCACATGGTGGCTCCCCACTACCTATAATGAGATCTGATGCCCTCTTCTGGCATGAAGGCCAACATGAAGACAACACTGTATGCATAATAAAGTCTTAAAAAATAAAAGCCATGAATTTATATATACAAAGTAGTGTCTAGTAAGTCTCTCACCGCTCTGTGATTTTATATTTGGGGTGAAGAATCTTTTATCGCTTACAATGGGTGTTCTAAAGGATGAACGGTACATTTCCACTGCACCTCCCCCTCACCCCTGTCCCTCCCTGTATTGTTTCCATATCCACCCCAGAAAACTTTTCGTTCATATTCTGAATATGTCTTTAAAGGCTAAGACTAAATATATATGACCATATCGATGCACAGGGGCAGATCCACCTGCATAATCACACTAAGCCATTCTTTTGGAGGTTTGCCATGTTGATGTTTTGGTAGTGCTTCTGGGCCAGAATTTGAATGAAAGCAGTGTTCTGAGGTTATTGTATTTTACTCTTCTTAACTGGGGCAAAAAAAAAAATATTAGGAAAATTTATTCTTTTACATCTCAAGGAAAAATACATCTAACAGATACCATCAAATATTCAGTACTAAGATGTTCCTTCTTGCTTCATAATGTTTGCATATGTTTTATTCTAACCATAATCTATACACTGTGTTTGGTTTCTTTCTTAAGTCTTCTAGTTGTGCTGTTTCTTAGTCTTTTGTTGGTTACTTGAATAACTTAAATTTTGTTCCCATCCAATCCCTCCTTGCTTTGATACTATGAACTGGGTTCTTGTTTGGTGTCAAGCCACTGAGCTGTGCTGGTGGGGAGGGAGGGCATATGGTCATGTGACACCCTTTGTTCTCAGATCCCCTCTCCCCACCCCCAACTTTGCATGAAGTCTCTGCAAGAGAACTTTTGGAAAGCCTCTTCTTGGCTGTTAATGGCAGCTAGACTTTTTTTTTAATATTTTGTTTATTGATCTTTTAAATTTTATTTATTTATTATTTATGCAGTGTTCTGGCATGTAGATAGTTGTGAAACACCATGTGGTTGCTGGGAATTGAACTCAGGACCTCTGGAAGAGCAGCCAGTGCTCTTAACCTCTGAGCCATCTCTCCAGCCCGAAGCCAGACTTTTTATACAGAGCATGCTATTCTAAGAGCCATTTTAACATTCACAGGAAATTTCATCCTTACCTACTTTCCTCCACATGTCCTCTTAAGAAAAAAGAAGAGGGGAGTGCTCCTCAACCTTTGTCCATGCAGTTCCAGACAAAAAGAACATCTAGTGTTATCTCTGGTTTCTCCTAGAACAAGGGAACCCACTTAAAAGGAAACAAACTATGATATGGGCATAACCCATAGCTGTAGTCAAATGCCTGTGCCCCAGGGACACCAACTCAGTCACATGCTCTGGATGTGCAGAACGGTTGCTGTTAGTACACTGCTTTGAGCCATCATCCTGGTTCTTGCCACTGTGTGGGAACTGTCCAGCATCAGAACCCATGGAAATCACAGCTTCTCACATTTGTGTTTGTTCTTACCTAAGAACCCTAAAACTGATGGGGCCTTCATTGGAGTACACCTGGCTTCCATGATACTTTGGATCTGCCTTTTTTTCTTAATCTCCAGAGGGCCCACAAGACCCTGTCAATGTCCTGAATTTGCTTCTCTGAGCTCACATTTCCCTCTGGAGTTGGCCTCCCATTTTCCTTGCCAAGTCTGACTTTTCACAGCCCCCTACTTAAGACCTTGGCTTGTGTGTCTTGGCTGGCAGCTTTTCATTCACATAGCTAAGAAAAGAGCATCGGCTGGCTGACTTTGTGATAGTTCTATGAAGTAGTAGCATATGATAAATGAGGAAAAGCAGGCACAGGACATACTACTAATAACTAGAACAAAGACAAGTAGGTATGTGCCATTTAGAAAGTAATGAAGTCATATGAGCCCCCACTTTACAGCAGTTGAGGCGAGATTTAAGCGACTTACTTAGGGTGATCTGTGATTCTTCCTGCCTTTTCCTTTAGTCCTAAGTAGACTGCTAAAGCCCCAGCCATTTGCATCTGTTATCAACACAGCACTGCGGGTCGTGCACAGTTCTCTCATTTAAAGGTTTAGGATGAGAAAACCCTTCTCGTTCTCTTATAACATGCTTTTTCCTGTATTTTGAGCATTTTCCTTAGTGAACTTCTTGTAGCTTTATCACTGAAGAATTGGAACATTGTGCCCTCCAACCAGTTGTTTTACCAACAACCTTTTGTCAAAGGGGCCTGGGTGCTTCCTATATATTTCCTGTGAGATTAGGAATGGGTATCACATCTGTGGAGGGCAGTTTATCAGTTACTAAATTATATGAATGTGTTTTCAGTGATTTTCGTATACATGCAGATCGTTTTTACAAGGTTTCTTAAAAGATAGGAATTTCAAAACAAATCCACCATGGTTTGTGGCAGAACACAGATCATAGCATTAGTAGAGACTTCCCTTACTTACTAATGAGGGAGAAATCTACATGACACCTAGATGGAAACAAGCAAGATGTAAAACTTTACAGTATTCTTCATGTGTAGGGAGGAAGCATTTGCTTATTTATACTCATGCATGGAATCTCTGAGAGGAAGAAAAGGAAATAGATGTACTTTCTGCCCTTGGGAAGGAATTGCGGGAAGCTGGGGTGAGAAATAATTTTCACTCTTTTTATATTTTTTGGAATTTTGAAATATGTAAAAAAATATTTAAAAATAAATTTAAAAATGTCTGTTCTTTTCGACTAAAGTATTTAAAATTTGTTTCATTGTCTGACTCATCCTGCCATCCACTTGAGTAGGAACCCAGTGTGTCTTTGTCATAGCTCTTCTGTGCATACCTGAATGTGTGTTCATTTAACAAAATGAGTTGCATGCAAAACAGTTTCAACTCCTCAATACTAAAAGTAAAAAGGCTAGCATGCATACTTGAACTTCCTAGTTCCCTTGTCCTTTCCATTTATTAGTCAACCCAACATGAGTTTATGAGAACCCCAAGTACTTCAGACAGACCTTGAATGGCAGTAATCCTCCTGCCTCTACCTCCAAAGCTCTAACATTACAGGTGTGCATCATCACTCAGCTTGTGGGCAGCCTCTTTACACATGCATATATGTTGAGGTGTGGCTCGTGCCTTTAATCCCAGCACTCCAGAGGCAGAGTTCAAGCTTGCTCTACATATTGAATTCCAGGTTGCCAGGGATACATAGACCTTGTCTCAAAAAAAAAAAAAAAAAAAAAAAAAAAAAATGTGCTAGTGGGCATTCTTAGCTATGCCAGAATCATAGACCCCCTGATTTGGAACAAGTCTATATTCCTTATCATACATTCTAGTCTCACCACTTTCATACATACTAACCTCTGTCTGCTAGCCATTCTTCAAGCTATAAATTCATTTTCAACCCCAGAGTTCTCCTGCTTCCCATCCAGAACATAGGTGGTGCACGAAGGGCTCTAGTAGACCCAAGCATGGCAAATACAGGCCAGAACATGACAAACATGGCACCATCAAGTTTTGTCCTTTACCCTTCTCTTCTTCTGCTAAACTATTAGATTACATTCCTAAAGCTAGCTACCAAGATCTAGTCCCTTATTTGTCCACTCGACTCATTCCTGAGCTTCAGCAATCAAAATCTATCATTTTGACTAACCTAATTAAAATATCCAATCAGAACTACCAACACATCCTAGT